TTTGTGAATATTACAAGTGCAACAACAAATTTGAACACTCGCTGTAGCAGCGATTGTAATAGTAAACAAGTGTGGGAATTACATTTGCCTTATCTTTGACTTTAATAGCCGGCATTTTTCTATTTTTTTTGGGTGTGTTTTTTGTAATTTAGCGACCTTACTTTATAATATAGTTTACTATGACGATTGCTCCGGAATATCAAGTTTGATAAAAACCCATAAATATTATGATAAAAAACAAATCATTTTCTCTTATGAGTAGTGATTGGTCACAATGCCAGACTATGACTAAATATTTGAATGCAGGATCTTTGATATCAGTCGTCTAAGATCAAAATGTATTGGTTGGATGTGTGATCGATTGAGGTATTTTTTTACACCAGGCTTTAGATCAGTATATTTTATAATAAATTATAAATTTTCGTTTATTATAAGTATGTCCTTAGACGGTTTAAAATTCTTTTCTCCTTTAGATTCCTGGTAAGGTTTGTCTCTAACGGTTGTTCTAAGTTAACGTTTTTGTACACTGCGGGGAAATTTGTGGCCAAATTTTTGAAGCCTAACGTGAAATCATTAATTATTATCTTATTTCTTTGCTTCGGTCCCATCGCACTGGCTCAAACAAAGTTTATTATATCAGAGAGATTTGTTATACAGCAACAGGCATTTCGAGAGTACCACGGTATCAATATGTGCTTGCATGTATTTTGATCAGCGAAATCTATTGGTGGTTAAATTCGATGATTTGAGCCTATCTCTAGATAAAATAACAGTTTTCCCTTTAGTCTTATTGAGTTGGCATTCATTACTTCTACTGCCAAAGCCTATCAAACACTTTTGCAAGCTTATGGTCATGTTGTTCCGTCTAACATCGTGGTTTACCGGTTTAGAAACCGTAATTTTGACGCTAATTGCAACCAACAGTAGGGAGGACCGAAAAAGTTCAAAGACCATGAATCGCAAGACTTATTGGCTGAAAGCCCAGCATAGAACTTTCGTACATCAACTCTTTTTAGATCGAAAGATTCAAGAGGAGGAGGAAACGGCTCACATACGACTTTACTGCAAATGCCAGAATTTCTGCCTTAAAACAGGCCGCCTTGAAAATGATCTACAAATCAAGCGAATTAAGTTTCACCAGCAAACGGTATGAATGGAAAACTTGCATTTATAAAGAATAGCTGATATGACTATTAAAGCACTTGCCAGGCTTTATCTATTTACCTCAATTTTTCAAGCTGTGAATACTCGAAAAAATATGACAGACGGACGGACAGAGTTGAAGTGATTTATTTCTTATAATGATAGAGAATTATCTTATATCGCATTAAATGGCTGATGAGCGTTACACGAACCGAATGAGAAATGTAGGGTAGACTAATCGCTCGGCAATCGCTCGCACACAATCAAGTGATTTTTTTAGAACTTGTGCATTCTTATTTCTCTTTGTATATATGTACCTACAGTGACTAAAACATTACTTCTTGAATGTTATAGACGCACACACATACATATGCTCGTACATTTATATATAGTAAATTTTTTTATTTACTAATATTCGTATGATCTGATTGCACGTGTTTCCGAAATTCGCGGCAATCGATGAAAAGGATACTCGCATAAACTAAATTACGGAAGTAGAGTGAAAATAAGCAGAATTTTCTGTAATATGCAAGAACTCTTCCTTCCACGTATTGTTACGAGTTGTACTACATGTTATGTTAACAAGCATACAATAGCACTGCATTATGTTTTAAATACCTTAGAACTGGTTGGGTATCTCAGATTCGTTTCAAATCGAGTTTTTGTTTGTATTGTATTTTTTAGCCTTTAATGTGTCAGCAGGTGGTGACTTGACACCCTTCTCAGCATGTGTGCACACCATTTGACTTTCTGGGAAAGTTTTAGGTTTTTTTATTTTCTTCTTCTTTGGCCTGACATGAATGAATGTTATTGCAACATGTAAAAGTAATAAATGTCAGTAATTTTCGTTAATAATTTTTGACATTTATGTTGCCGTTTACTTTTGAAAAAAAAAAAATAATATGATGATTCTTTTTTATTTCGCGAAATTTTCTCTGTCTTATTACATTACGAGCATTTCTTTCTACTCTTCTTTCAAAAATGTTCATAAAGGGGGAAAAAATGTGAAAGATTGCGGAGAATATAAATTTGTCAAATTGTTTGCACTTAGATTTTGAATTTCATACATGAAATTATTTGATTAAAGCAACCGTGTAAAGCATAGCACCATGTTGAACGACTACGATGTGCTTGCTTTTTTCCATACTTTGTCAAGAGCTCTGCAGTTTTGCAAATGAAAAAAAAAAAAAAAATTGCTTTAAGTTGAATATTTGAAAAAGAAAAATAAATGTTTGCCGAATCTCAGAAAAGAAAACACCATTGAATAAAGCTACCATGCAGCAGCTTTAAGCTGGAAACTCAACCAATGTAACCGAAGAGACACAAAACTTCATTAGTACGGCCTCTGTCTTTTTCCATTTTGAAAAATAATTTCTTAGTCCATTGAAGATATTAGGAAATGTTTAAAAAAATTGGAGACTTTGTCTCAATCAGTTCACGATAAGTAAGTAAGCAAAACTGGGTCATACACAAGTTTGGTTGTATAAGAAGCGACGGGATATACGCACATATAGATGACAAAATAAATTTCAAATAACGAGTTATTTTGTACATGAATTTAATTATTCTACAGAAGGGGAGCATCTATTTTTATATTCTAAACCATTTGTAGTACAAGTGCTTATTAAGTTTGTAAGGTTATAAGCAACATCCAGAAGAAATTGAAACAGACCCATATTTTATTACATTGATGGATTCACAACTACTTTTTATATCGGTACAGGCTTGTCCGTCCGTCCGTCCGTCGTCTTGTTCGTTTTCATATGTTCAACATATAGATCCTAATTTTGTAGATACCTCCATGAAAATTTTTGTTTTGGCCCAAGGAAGAATGCTATTGAGCATTATTCGGATCTGACGATTGTTCGATCACTTTTGTTCCTAGTTAACGTCTTGTTAGTTGTATGGGGTTTTTGATGGTGGCCGTTATCCACCACAGTTTCTTTACTTGATTTGAATTAGTCAGACTGGACGGAAGAGCATTTGAAATTTTAAGTGTAATAAAAGATTGAGAAATTAATTAATTAAATAAAGTAAACTCCGCCCATAAAGACTAATTGAAAATTGCATTAAAAGGTTTCGGAGCAACATTGATTTTGAAAGACAAAGAGAGTTCGTCGTTACGCACAGTTTTCTATTTTAAGACGCTAAACAATTAAACATTGCTAAGACGGCTTTTACATCATCAGTGGAATTGCCAGGAAATAAATATCGAGACAAATGGTAACCGAATTAGCACTTGATGTTATTACTGGGGAACATATTACATATGCTGAAGCAAAGAACAAAGAACAATTTATTAAGTCCAGAGGGACTTAGGCTTAGCAAAGAAAATTTTAAGTATTCAGACACCATTACCTGACTAGAGGAAGGAAGGAGCACCAGACACAATGATCTTGAAGAGCTAAGAGAGCTGAGAGCAATTGAAGCAATAACAAGGGTCTAAAGTGATACTTGCTGGCTAGAAAACGAGACGTCTCCTCGATTCAAAGCATACAGACAATAAGCAGATGCAATGGGTAGAAGAACTTTAAGTGATGCTCGTGGATGCTCGTTTTGCGAGTCGATTATTCACGCAATACGCACAAGCCGGAGCTGTCGCAATCGTCGAAAGTTGTTTGGCATTTTTCATTTTTATTAGACAAATCCGATAACTACTTCCATACCTCTGAGAGTCCTATTATAGTTCGTATACAAAGTAGGTAGGCATGAATGCCGAAGTCTTTATCTGCAGAGAGAGAGAGAGAGAGAGAGGGAGTCCTGTGAATTATGCCGGCTTAACACGTTATGCGATGATCAAGCAAGATCCGCTTTAATAAAACCTGCAACCTGCAGGGAAATTACCACAGCGAAGAGACAAACAGCTACGACAAACAACATACAGTACAATAAAGAAGAAGAAAACATATAGGTACGTTATAAACAAAAAAAAAAATAAATAAATAAATAAATAATCAAAACAGGAAAGGAAATGTAATAAACATGAGTTGTGCGAGACTCAATTTCAGAAATCGAGAGAAAATAGACAAAGAATAAGCTGAGAGTAAAGCATTCAGCCCTGGCGAGCTAAAAAGAAAAACAAAAGCTCAACTTGCCAAGGTAGATAATATAAAGACGCAACAAAAAAGCGGAACGAAGCAAACATAAGCTACAAAATGTAAAGAAGAGAACGAAGGAATAAAATTAAAAGAAAATTAATTATATACGAAGGGAAAGCAAACGAATAAAATAGGCCCGAGACCACCATATACATGAAACAAAAACCAACTGAAATCACTCCTTTGCAAGGAGGAATAAATAAAAAAATTTATTTAATTATTTTCTGTTAATTTTATAAATTTATTATTAATTTTTAAAAGTGTTCAGTGATAAGTGTTTAAAAGTGACAATTTTCGAAGAAGACGGCCTTGTCGAGCACAGAGCTGCCGAATATGGTAATATTGTGCTAATTTTCCGATCCATCTCTAGCGTAACATGTAACATGTTTAAGAAAACTTTAAATCAAATATGACTAAGCGACTATGTAAAATGTGCCTGACTAATAGAAGGCATGGGATAGTGTTCTTTGGGTATTACCAGCTGAATGACAATATCAAAATACTTTCTGTAGGGGGTTTAAAAATTTATTTATTTTTTTAATTAGTAAAAGGAAATTTAGTGCGGTTTTTTTCTTAGTGATAACAAATATTTCAACCCTGACGCCTCTCGCGCTTATTCTCTCTCTCGGGCAAAATGAGTTATTATAAATTAAGTTCAAGCATTTCATATATTTTCATACCATTCAAGATCAGTCTCAATAAAGCAACACTCTTATAATGATATATACTTTTGCTAAGCGTTCTTTGTAATTAAGTGCAATGAATATAAAATTATTGCTTTTATTCGGTATCGGTTTGATAACGTTGGCGGAAGCAACACATCTTCGTCGCTTAAGAGAACACCTTAGGCGAAGAACAAATCGAAATGAAGATGACCAATACGAAGATTCCTTGGATGAAAATGTACGTCCTAGCGGTTTGCTACGCCGTCATTTAAGGAGAGGAGGAAGAGGACCAACTATTATGGGACCACCTGGGCAGCGGGTAAACTTTAATCCAATACGACAAAATCCAGCGATAAATCAAAACAGAATATATCCTCAACAAAATCTCATACATGAAGATCTTATTAAGCCAAACCAACAGCAGTTACCTCATAATCCCGCTTATGTCCAAGTCATGCCACACCCTAATCAGCCAGTTAACGTACCTCCGGGGCTATTTACAAATGCAAATCACATACAACAGCCTTCCATTCAAGGTCAGCAAGTACCCGTAGGGGGACAATTTGTACCAGTTATACAAAATCCCGGATATGTCCAACAGCCTGTTCCAAATTATCAGCCCGTAGTAGGGATGCAACCAGTAACTCATTTGAATCAAAATCCGCAACATTTACAAGTTGTTCCCCAGATGAACTATCCTCAAAATCCTCAACACGTTCAACATCAACAGATGCCAGTTATACAACCTGTACCAGTGTCACATGGGTCGCCCAATTCTGTAAACAACGTCATGCTTACAAATGGATTTGTACCAAGTCAACAAGGGCTTCCTTATAATCAACCTGAAAGGAATGTTCCCCAACCAACACCAGTGGATAGCGGTTTACCACCTCATTATAACAATAACCAAAATTCTGGATTATCTAACAATATTTTGCAGCCGGCACCGTATACGCCCAATCAACCGACTAATAACTTTGAAGCGGAAACATTTAAACCAAATCTTTCAGTTACCAATGAGAAAATCATACAACAACAACATCCTGTTGGGCAATTTCCAAACTTCCAAAGTCCGCCACTTGACGACCTGATAAACAAAATACTGACAACTACGACAAGCGAGAAACCTACGCTTAATCCTCGCCGCATGGATCTTCTTTACGGCAGCAATCTACATGAGGAGGAAAATTTTGAAGATGAAACTCGGAGAGATCTAACAGTCGACATCGATCCGCGCATGGGCGGCCCCACCAATGCGAAAAATACTAACGATGAGAATGATTTAAGAAAATGACGTTTTTTAGGGTTTTCCTCTTCTAGCTTTGGTTTAACCCGCGCACAGTCATTCTAACATTCAAATCCCGTTTTATTCATTTTGTATATTAATTAAATTTTTATTACATTGTAATTCACTACAACGATTATATGCATTAGCCAAAGAGAATGATTACAAATTTTAAATTAAAAATTGCATTAGTAGTGAAATGTTTTAATAAAATCGCAAAATAAAATGCTAAAATAATTTTAACTTCCATACCAACAAAAGCAAAAACAAAAAAAAAAAAACTAAAGCTTATTAAGTAATAAATTAAAGATTAAACATTTCTCAAATTAATAATAATTTTTTTTTTTTTTTTTGAATTTCAACAAAGAAAAATTCCCATTTGCTATGTCAGACCAGTTTGTTGAAAAAAAAAGAAATATATTTTTTTTAATTTAAAAAATTAAATAAAAATTTTATAAAACAAACAAATAAATTCATTAACTGAGGAACTTGATGCTGAATTTCATGCGTTTCAAATAATCACAAGCAGCGAGATAACGGCCGGTTAATTACGTGTTAGACAAAGTCAGCTTAGGTTAATGACTGCTCGCAATGTGTTCAGCGAATATGAAAGAAGAAAGCTTGATGCTCGAAGTGCTTTTAATAATTCTGGTTTTATTGAAAAATCGTTCCAGTCGAAGCTCAACGACGGGCAAGCTTTACGAATATTTTTTAAAATTTTTAAATTTAAAAAAAAAAAAATCTACAAACATACAGGTTTTTAGATATTTTAGTTTATCCTTAATTGTATGAAAAAATCATTAAATGCCCGAACTTGCAATTAGCTGTAAGGCATACTTAAGTCATACTTTGTACACCCATCACCGAAGGATGGTCAAAACGTGTGCAACACTTATAAGCAAGCTTTAGACAAAGAATACGCATTTTTGATGCTCCTCAAGAATCCAGATCGATTTCAGCATGTTTGTCTATCCGTCTGTCCGTCTGACTGTTTACGTAATTTTCGCAGTGAACTTTCTCTTAACTGTTAAAACGAAGCTATGAGCTTCAAGTTTGCCAAAAACCTTCAAGCAGGAGGATATTGAAAATGGACCAAATCGGCCGAAGAGCATGCTTACACAAAATAAAAAAATTTTTGCTTTTTCCCCTTTGTAATTATTACTTGAAAGTCACATGGAAAAAAATGTCTACGAAAACGGATAAAATCAGACAAATTCTCTTAATATTTCATTACTAAGTTTCTTGCGTTTTTCTTTTTCCAAACTCTTCGAGGATAATTATGGTGGGTTTAAAAGATGGGGCAAAGGCAAATATAAATTTCTTACATGTCTTAGGAATATCTCTGTGAAATCTATCTCGGTGAAAATATCTCTGTATTTACGACGTTAGTTTCGTCTCCTGACTATTGTGAGCATGTTTTTAGGATCAGTATTTATAATCTCAATAGATCGAAAGACTTCTTACTTCATTCCATTCCAATCTTACTAACTAACATCCATTGTAAGTTCCAGAGTTGATAACGTTAGGGGTAAGGGGAGAAGGAGAAGAGCACTGATTACCGATTTATTATGCGTGAAATAGCATGATGTGTCAGTATCCCAAAGCAATCTGAAAAGTTTATTCTGCATGAAAAATTAAATATAAACCATACAGGATTCAAGTCTGCCTAATGTAAAGCATAACCGAAATTGTGATGAAAACAAATGAGTAATAGACGTGGCAAGAAATTATTTCCGATATCATTGAATCAACAGATGTTGACAAGTGTTGCAAAAGCAATTCTTCACAACTTCTAAATTATGTGGATGGAAAATGGATGAGCAAAGATGTGGTCTCCACAAAAGAGAACTTTCCTTCCTTTTTCAAATTGAACATACGTGCACACAAATCGTATGATGAAATATATATATATATATATATAAATACATACATATCAAAACTTCATCTTCCAGCGCGACAATGCCCTTTAAGCATGCATTCTGCAAAGTGCGAATAAGTAGATGAGCGGATGAATTTGTGAAATGGGAACAGTCTTTGACTTTGAGACCTAAAACTTTATACCTCCTAAGCAGTTGATGGGGCCATGAGTTTGAAGTAATATGATTTTCTAAGCATTTGCACCGTTCTAGGTTTCTTAACAAATACCTTCAACTTTCTAGAATATGTGGAGAAAAGTTTATGTTTTACCAGAAATTTCTATGTATTTCCACAAACGAACCATAACCTTAAATGCAGAATGTAAGGGATTTTTATGAGTTAAATTAATCATTATTTACTAATAAATAACTTTTTTACTCGGAAATTGAACACTTTCTTTCAAATACTCAACAATCATATAAAAATCTATAGTTTTGGAATATCCTATGAATTTCTCTATATGTAAGCTATAGATAGGAAAAATAAAACATTTTTTTCAGTGCTACCCACATTATGTGTTAAAGAGAGAGAGAGTGAGAGAGAGAGTGCGCCTAACCTAAACACGCTTCGTAAGAATGGTCCTAGTGTTGGCATTTGTAATTTAGGCATAAAAATTTTTTTTTTAATATTTAAATATGTGCGTAATGACTAACTCAAATGTTATTATTCTAGTGACCTTTTCCAAAAACAAGTGAAAACGTTATAATCGGCGCTTAAATACCGTACACCACTTCGCCTAGTACAATTCTTACTTTTGTCATAATACAAAACAATTATACCCTGTTTTTATATCAACTTACGACTGCAACTATTATGAAACTACATATATATTAAAAATTAGAGCATTTTGCAAAAAGGAATTACTTTCCGTAAAAGGTTCAAGAATTCAAGTACATGTTCAAATTTCAGCACAGTTAATTTTAAAAAGTAAAGGTCCAAAAATAGGTGTGGGTGGGCCACATTTGGTACAGTTAATTTTGTTTTCTTAAATTACTATTATGATCCAGTTTTCATCATGAGCCTTGAAAATTACGCCCCTTTGTCATATGAACTTTAGTTTGTTGTTAGTTAAGAACTGGTTCAAAAAATTACCCCAGCCGGTCTCAAAATATCCAGATCAATTCAGAATGGGGAATTACAATCACTTATCCGCTTTTGTCAAGAAATTTCGAAAATTGAAATTTTTCCCATATAATGACTTCTTTAAATATGGCGTTATGTGAGGAGTACTCGAAAAAGTGAACCGATCGAAAGCATTTTCAATAGCGCTTGGGCTTGGATCAAAACACGTTAGTGTACCAAATTTCATCAAAATATCTCAAACATTGCGACCTGTAGCTTGAACAAAAACCTTCATAGACAGACATAAGACGGACAGAAGGACAGACAGGCTTAGATCAATTCAGAAGATGATTCTGAATCGTTCGGTATAATGAAAGTTGCGTCTAATTTAAGGCTGACTACGTGTTACATACGTCCAAACAAACTTAATATACAATGTACGAGAAGTGGCGTAATATATAAAAAGTCTATTACTCGGGTTAAATTTTCAGCAGATAGGGGTAGAGTTTAAGAATATATTTTATGCGCCGACAAAATCGCGCAGAAGAGGCTTGCAAAAGGCAACAAAATTTATAATTAACAAAATACTTTACAATCTTTCTATAGTGCTTTGTGACGATGGATATGCGGCATTAATATCAAAGCAAATATAAGTGTGTTCGCTATTCCTGGGTCTAACAGTGAAAGGAGCTTTCAGCGGAAGCTCCATAGGAATTCGGTATCCGTTTGTCAATATTTTCTTTTATATATATATATATATATATATATATATTATTTAGTTACAGAAATTTTGAGGTTTTGATCCTAAGATTACATCCACATTTCTATAAAGTTAAGGAAATATATTTCTTTTGTAGTTCCAAAGAAAATAGGAAAGATTGGTGTATATCGGTTTTTTAGCAACCATAGAACACATTCATATTTTATATTAACTTGATAGTTATCTTCTTTAGGTGATTAAATACATGGCTCTCTAGGTACACTGCGTATTGCAGAGTTGCCTTAATCGTCCCGAAAAAGAAATGGCTTTGTATAATTTTGGTTCATTTTTTTTTTTTCACTCTAAGATGATTGACGTCATGGCAACAACAATTGTTATCGGTATTTGAAGAACGATTTTATCAAAAATCTGATTTATAAGAGATTTGGGATCTTATAAAGAACACTGCGTTCTTTAAAAGCATTTAGGAAAATTTGATGCAAGTGAGCAACTAATCTAATGATTTTATCCAAGAGATTTTGGTTGAAAAATGAACGATGCTAGGAAGGCAAAGAAAAATTGAGGAAACAAAGCATTTGAAAATAACAAATAATAGCTGATCATAGATCGGGAAGTCCCGTTAAGAAGGGTCAACTTTAAAATTAACGCTCCCGGAAAAGTTTACAGTTCGTCCTTTTAAAAACTTCAAATATACTTAGTTAGAGAAGCTAAGACGATAGAATAATTTAAAATGCCATTTAAAGTTGTAGAATAATTTTGAAAATATTTATTTTCTTTTCCTTTTTAAAATTTTTGTTCATATAATCTAAGCAAGCTTGCGACACTTTTGATTTACGGGAGTGAAACCTTCAGAGCAGCGTGGCACTAAAGTGAATAGGCTTAGTAGATGTGATGGCGGCTGTTCTCTATTCAGTGGTAACACCTCTGCCTGTTTTTCGTCAGGTAAAAAACTTTCACTTAAAACGTGTTGTACGTAAAATATGCAAAAAATTAAAAATTTTATACTTAACGACATCATTTTACAATATCTGTCTTCTTATTTTATTATTATTATTATTTTTATTTTTTTTTCAAATCAATTTATTCTCAAATACTCACTCCGTTTATATCAATACGTATTTACAGAATAAATTGCTTTTAAATTGTAATTTTTTATTTATATATATTTCTAAACACGCAAGCGTATGTGTGCAAAGAAAAAACTTAATTGCCATGATTTGTTTATTAGTTTGTGCATAAGTAAGCAAATCGAAATATTAATAATGAAATTGTTCTTTGTTTAGATTCCCCTTAATGAGAGATTAAAGCT